TTTAGGAACATAAAGTCGGTTCCCTTTCACCTTCAGGAACCCATCTTCCATGTAGAATGGAGAGTCTTGTATTGTCCTACCAAATCGACCAAATACTATACAGCAGGATCCTTTGGGAGTAGATCTTGTATCTGATCTCTTACAGTGGTGGCCACTTCGCTCCCCCTTGAGGTGGCGAGTAGGCACACCGAGGCTAAGTCAACCATCTGACTAAGCGCATCAGCAACTTGGTTAGTCTTCCCACTTTGGTCTCCAGGTTGAAGTGAAATTCCGCTAGGAGTTCCTGCCACCTGGCCTGGCGTCCATTCAGCTATGGCTAGGTCATGAAATGGCTAACAGCTGTGTTGTCTGTCTTGACCATGAACGGGGTTCCCAGCAGATAGTGTCTCCAAAGGCGTAAGCAATGGACGACAACCAACAACTCTTTATCGTGGGCGGCATAGCGTCGTTCAGCATCCTTCAACTTCCGGCTCTCGTGCGCAACTGGATGCCCCTCTTGTAGCAGGACTCCGCCCAGAGCATAGTCAAAGGCATCTGTTTGTACTCCGAATGGCTTGGCCAAATCAGGAAGGGCCAAGATGGGGCTACTAGACATAGCCGCTTTCAATACGTTGAAGGCCTCCGCTCATTTGGGACCCCAATCCCAAGGCATGAATTTCTTTAGGAGTTCTGTCAATGGAACTGCAATGAGAGAGTAATTCTTCGCAAATCGCCAATAAAAGTTGCATAGGCTAAGGAACGCCCTCAAGGTATGGATATCCTTAGGCGGCAGCCAATCTGTGACAACTTGAATCTTCTGTTGGTCCATCTTTATCCGCCCTTCCTCGAAGACATGTCCGAGGAAGTCAATCTGGGAGAATGAACACTTGGACAACTTCGCATATAATTCGTGCTCCCACAGTCGGGCTAGGACCTTCCGCATGTGCTCCATATGTTCCTCTAATGTTTTGCTATATTCCATAATGTCGTCCAAGTAGACCAATTAAAATTCATCAATTAACTCTCGGAAGACTTGGTTCATCAAGGTGCAAAATGTGGCTGGAGCATTAGTCAAGCCGAATGGCATGTACAACCCATATCTTGTCACACAGGTCGTCTTGTGTTCATCTTCCTCAGCAATTCAGACTTGCCAGTAACCTGTCTTCAGGTCTATTTTGGTGAACAACATAGCGCCACCAGATCTATCGAACAAGTTTCCCATTAGCTGGATAAGGTACTTGTTCTTCACGCTGATTTTGTTTAGGGCCCAATAATCCACACAATCGTAGGGTGCTATCCTATTTTTTTTTTTTTTTTGGAATAGCATAGGGGACTTGGAGGGCACAATGATCCCCGTGTCTAGCATTTCCGTCAATTGTCTCCGAAGCTCGGTGAGTTTGGGTTGTGACATTCTGTAAGGTGCCGGGGCAGGTGGCTTCGCACCCGGCACCAACTCAATCTCATGGTCCACAGTGCGCCTAGGTGGGAGTCGCCTTATCATGTCTTATGTCATGACGTCTTCAAACTCCTTTAGCAGCTCTTTCACGGGTGCAGGATTGGGACCCGAAGAGCGTTCTATATCTTCAATACAGAGGGAAGCCAGGAACGTAGGTTCATGCCTTTTGACCCCTTTCTTCAACTGCAGGGCCGAGATGTTCTCAACGCCCACCTTTAAGGTTGTGCATGGGATAATTCAGGGTTTGGCCCTGTTTGCTCCCATCATCAGTAGCATGTTGGCATAAGGTACAGGAATGGTGTTGGTATTCCTCATAAATTCCAACCTAACATCAGCTCGAAGTCATCTATGATCACCACGCGCAAGTTGAATTTTCCTTCATAAGGACCAAGCTTCACTAGCACTCCTTTGTCTATTCACCCACTAGCTGAGGCAGTGAGTTGATAGCCTTGACACGACCTCTACGCTTTCCCACAACTAGACCAAGGTGCTCTACCTGAGTTGAGTGCTAAGTAGTTGTGAGTAACGTCCGTGTCTATCATCACTCGGATGGGCTTGCCATTAACTTTCATCTCGACGAACATTAAGATCTTCTCTTAGTTAATAGGAGTCCCCGCATCCGCCTTCTTTTTCCCTTTCTTGGTGGTTGGGCATGGGTCCTTCTTCTTACGAATACCAGCACGGGTTCCCGCTAAGGCCTCAAAAATAGAACAAATAAGTGCGTTGAAGACACCTATTGGTTCTGTCTGGTCAGCATCATCTGTGTCGTCATCCGTCCTATCATCAGAAGTTTGATGGGTGTTCATCTGTGCCTGTGGGCATTCTTTGTTCCAATGTGGCCCGCCGCAATCACGACATCCTGAAGGGGCCTTCCTCCCCCGATCATTGTTGTGAGACGCAGCACTATTATTGCGTGAGGAAAGAGTCTTAGATTTGGTTGCACTCCGATATCCTCCACTTCTGCTAGGGCCACCATTGCTAGGTTGGCCCCCTTTGTATCCTCCAAGGACAGGCGTTTGAGGCCTATCCTTTCGAGCTTCCACTTGATAGTCCCCAAGGCATTCCGCTGCTTGGACGCCTTGGGTAAAGTGTCTACCTCCTTGTCTTTACAGCTCCATACGGGCATAAGTTTTTCAAACCTTCTAGGAATTTGAAGAGTTTGTCTTTGTCCCCCATATCCTGTATGTTCAGCATGAGCGTGGAGAATTCCGCACGTAATCCCACACTGACTTGGTCTGGCGTAACCCCTGTAGCTTCCTCCGTGCATTGTACTCTAGATTTTTGGGGAAGAACTGTAGGTGTATGACTGCCTTCAGTTCTGCCCATGTCTCGATAGTATCTTCACTAGCCCTGATGGTTTCGTATTTCACTTGCCACTAGAGTTAGCATCACCCTGAATATACATGGCAGCAGTTGCTACCGTTTTTGCTTCTTCTAACTCCCCCACAGCATCGAAGTACTGTTCGATGTCGAAGATGAAGTTCTCCACTTTCATGGGATTCCAAGCTCCATTGTATGGTTTAGGCTCAGGAATCTTCAGCTTTTGTGGCACAGGGCGAAGTTCGCAGCACCCCCGATCTGGTTTTCGCCTCCTCGAAGTAGGCCTTGTAGTAAAGCATTGACAATATTGAGCTGGCAAGTTAAGTTGTCTATGGTTTGCTGCATGTAAACTGTAGCGAAATCACTGGAAATGAGAGAGATGTGAGTGTCAATCATTCTGTCAGCATGCTCAAAGAGTGCTTTCCAGAAGATGGAGAAGGAGAGAATGCACTTACAACCTCTCTCTCATATTCACCTGCCAAGGCATGACATAGATAGTAGACAGTCAGCTCTCTTACAGCCAGTTACTGCGATTGATTGGGGAGAGAGTGCTAGTCTAACTGCCGGTACGGGTATGATAATAGATAGAGGATCTTCCAGTCCATGGCAGTCACTTTGACTGCCTCTTGTGCCCTATAGGTTAAATCCTCGATCCGCTCCCGTTGGAGGCCCTCGAATTTACCAGAAATCTCAGTTGCCTCTATGGCTGCTGTTTGCCGGTCTCCTTCAGAGTCGCGACTGATGTTCGCGATGTCACCTTTGGCCTGCCGCATCCTGCGACCCAGGTCGTCCAACCTTTGCACTAGGCTGGTTCTTAGATCAGTCACTGTATTTACGATGGGTCGTAATACGTCAACCGTCTCTTCAAGGGCCGCAATGTGGTCCCCATGATTCACCATGGTCAGAAATGGTGGTAATGGCAATGTGTTCCCCCGTCCGATGTCAAGCCTAGGCTCTGATACCAACTGTTACGCGGCGCCTTCCTGAGATTCCTTGCAAGGGCGACGTAAGGCTAAGCAATCGATGTCTGTGCAGTTACTATCCGCCAACTAGGGTCCCCTCCGTACACTAGACGAGATTGTTAGTGTAGTATGGAAAAACCAATATCAAGAGCAATTGAGAGAACATAAAAGAGAATTGAGAATGAAAGAAAACTTGATTGTATTAATGAAAGCTAATAGAGAAAAGCAACACGGTGTCAAGGGGAAGAGACACCAGTACAGAGAATTATTTGCTTGCTAGAAAGTTTGATTGCTTGTTCCCCCTAATAATGCTTAAAGAAAATAAACCAAAGTTACAAGACTTAACCTAACTAAGGTAGAGAGACATAATGGAAATACATGAAATAAAACTACTCTATATCGTGCTTGTCACTTGGCGTGGCCAAGACCACGGGGCCGTCCATAGCGCTAGGAGTTAGGAGGCTTGCCAGGACGCCATCGGGCGTGTCCAAGGGGTCATGGACATGGCTGAAAAGCCGCCTATGAAAAGACATATGTTGTAAACCTGGACTAATTAGTATGTTAGCATTATATATCCCAGATTGTAATGATTATTTTCGTCATCAAAAGCAATGCCCTTCAGTTTCGATTTGAGTTGCAAACTCTGCTTCAACTCAAAAAGGCCCCAAAAGATACTTTATCTCATACGTGAATTAGCCGCATTTTCTTGAGACCCACCCTATTTGTACTTGTGGGTCACTTTGTTTGCTTTTTAAGTTAAATCTGGATACCACGAGGCTGCTAGATCTTATGTTTTAAAATAAAAAAGGGACGCTTTGGAGCCTCTTCATTGGATTCAATAGGAGGGGACCATAAATTTAATTCCTTCTTAGACTTCCTATGCTCAATATCATAACGGTCTGAACTCATATTCTATACTTCTGCTTTTCTTGTTTAATCATATTTAAACTCTTCTACTATTTTTCTGCCAGTTACTTCATTCGTGCATCACAATTGCTGCTCATAGTTGGATGAACACGAATTTAAAGTTGAGTTGAGAATGAGTGTCATCGTATTTTATGTGTACATTTTAAACTTTTTTTCACATATGTATGGTAAAACCGAAAAAAGATCACATAGCTTACGGGAAATCTGCGTTTAGTCAGATGAAGTGGTCTCATGATTCAGCCCAAATGTTTGTCAAAAACACTTCTCTCTCTCTCTCTCTCTCTCTCTCTTTGTGGGTCGGGGGAGTTGCAACTTGGTAGTATTATTTATGTACGATTGAACATGAATAACGACAAAACACTTTGCTGACTAAGGTTAACTTGTGAAAATGAAACCCTACCTGCCCACTAGCCAGGAAATTAATTAATTAAAACTAATAAAACTACAACCTGCCGTAGAAATTAACATTCTCTGACTACTCAGAAAGCTAGCAATGAACTCCCACCCCTCAAAGAAAACAGCTGCCATTAACTTCAACATGACATGCAACAGTACTAGTTGCTTGTTATGCACCATTATTGAAACACATACATCTGTACGAAGAAAATTAATAGCTCAATGCTTCAAAGATTTGCCTCTTCTCAGAGATGATAAAAACCTTGTCATCACCTTAAGATGCCTCTGGAATATTGCTCTGGCTCAACCAGACGACCCTGAATTTCCATATCTCGGCATTTTTAATTGCATGACTAGACTTCTCAACAGGTGCATCCGTGACCAAAAATGGCTTTCGAGTGGCAAAAACGTGTATGTTCCTTACTATGCAGCTCACATTATTGGCTCCTACACCATGAATAAATCTCGATTTTCTGTATTGGCTGTTAAATCAGCTGTAATTTCGCCATTAATAGAGCTTTTAAGAGGAAAGATAACATGGGTCGAGCAAAGAGTAGCTGTTAGAGCACTTGGTCACATTGCCAGACATAGAAGAACATTTGAAGACATTAAAGTCTACGAAACGGAAATCATAAAGCTAGCTATGGACATAGTTTCGAAATGCATTCAAACTATTTACACTGAATTTGTTATCAAGAAAAGTGAAAATAGAGTAGAATATCATCGTCATTTGATGATAAAAGGTCTAGGAGGATTTGAAATGGAGAATAGAAAAGCAGAGTCTTGGGCTTGCCAAATGCAATGTTGGTCTCTTTACCTTCTCAACTGCTTTGTTAGAAAGAAAAGAAGCATCAATTTGATATGCAAAGAAGAATTTCTCAAGAAATTATGTGCTATATGGGGTGGATTACAGAACCAGAATTCTTTCTCTGGCATTGGCCTGATCAAAAGTCTACGCCACAGTGAAATAGGTCGAAGAAATATAGCACAATCAGAAGAAATTGTAGCAAGTATTTGTAATATCTCTAGATCTTCAGACGAATGGCAATTATGGGCAATTGAAAGTCTTTTATTACTTCTCAAAGATCAAAATACAAGAAGCGTAGTAAGAAACATTGCCGCTCCTTTTCTTGCTGATTTAGTAGAGCTTAGAACTGTTAAAGGTAGAAGAAAAATGGGTGACGTGATAACGCAAGTAATCTTACAAGATTATGCAAAAATAAAGTATGGTCAATTGAGTTTCACCAGAAAAGGATCACAAAAGGCTATTGAAGAGATTTGGGAGTTGAAAGTAGAAAAAAGGAAAAGGGATAAATTAATGTCCGAAGAAGAAGTAAGGGAAAGAGAGCTTTTGGTTGCAATATTAAAACGTGAAGGAAATAGGAAATTTTGGTCAGCTGATATTGAAGAAGCCGTAAACAAATATACAAAGGCTCTGGATTTGTGCCCACTTAAGTTAAGAAAAGAAAGGATTGTTCTTTATAGTAATAGAGCTCAATGTCATTTAATTCTAGGAGAAGCAGAGTTAGCTATTAGTGATACAACTCGAGCACTATGTTTATCAGGTGAAATGAGGCCTCATATTAAGAGTCTGTGGCGAAGGTCACAGGCTTATGACATGAAAGGATTGGCTAGATTAAGTTTAATGGATTGCTTGATGTTCATTAATGAACGTAGCAAGTTCAATAATGGAAACAGAAGCAGCAAAAGGAAGATACCTTACTGTGCAATGTGCATGTTGAACAAACAGATAACAGCCACGTGGATTTTTGCGGGTGTCGCTAAGTCAATGGAAGATGACATTAATGACGATGGAACGCATAAATCCAGGGACGCCCAGCATGTCTTTGCAGGTGCAAAAATGAAAGGGAAGACAGAAGCAATTTTAAAAAGTAAGTGCTAAATTATTTTTGTTGATGCTTATTTCATATAACAATTTTAGTTCTACAAGTTCACATGATAGCGCAAAGTTTGAGTTCTCAGCTAAGAAAAGGATTTCTTTAGTTTGACTTCTTTACAAGTGTAAAAGAATTTGGAGACTATCAGATGATACAGATCACCTAAAATATGATGGCATATAACAATCTATAAAAAGAGGGATGAATAACCTGAAATTAAATATAAGACACGTTAAATTGCATTAAAAATGTGAATTTTTTAATATTGCCATGCTCCTTAAAACAGGCATGCGTACCCACGGGAACGACAAGGAGGAGCGGCTCTTGAAAAAGGGACGGCTTTGGAGAAGGCTGAATAGTACAAGTCGGAGAAGCAAAGGCGTTATTGAACCATTGCTGAAACGTTTCAAAGGAAGGAAAAGCGTAGATGTACAAGAAAAAAAAGTCAAATAGTCTTTTGTTCCCCAAGGAAACTAAAGTTGGAGCTATTTAAATAGTCCAACCAGTTTGATTTTAGAGAAGCTCATGTTCAATTGCCAATTAAGAATATTCTCTATTTAGATAGTCTAATGTCCACTTGAACACTATTCAACTTTCAGTCAAATTCTTATAACCGACATAAGCTTGCGGTTTTTTTTATAAGGTTTTGGGGAAACAAAAATCACTTGGAAGTTAATCATATTTGGGAATCTCTGACTGAAGAGTGAAGAAAAGATGTGATTTCTGTCCATCTTTATTAATCCCTTTTCAGGCAAGCTACTTTTTGGTTTGATATGGTCCTCGTTGACAAGACAACTCAACAAATGCACCTTAAATGGACACCAAATAGATAAGATTTGAAGCATAGATCTGCTGAGGTATCGTATCGTACCTAACCCGCTAAGATAGATTTGTGCGTTCCTAATGCTGAAAACTAGCGTGCGCTTTTGCGTATGTTCATTTATTTATTTTATTATTTACTTAATGGAGAAGGAGAATACAGCTTTTCTTTAATTTTTGGTCTATCGGTAGTTATTGCATCTCGCTTTACAACTATCTGATACGACTCATTTCTATGTTTTTCTTCCCTCTTTAAAGAAAATATTTTTTTCCAGATTAAATTTGGAATATATTTTCTTATCATTCAACTAAGGTTGTGGCCTCCGGAAAAAAACCCTATGTGGGCTCAAAAAGAAATTGCTTTACGCTATATCATTTTCCATCCTGTTTCTCGTCGCAAACCGTAGACCAGAAAGTTTTTCTATACTCTTCCGTCCTCACCAAAATAAAATGTTAGTTTCCAGCTTTAGGAAACCAGAAGACAACACAAAACTAGGGTATGAAATTCTGAAAATACACATTTGTGTGTTGAGCATGCATACCAAATGGTAGACTTATCACCAAATTGCAGCTCAGTTTACGTTAGAAAAAAGAGGCGCTTAATTCATTCATCACCACCCCCGCAAACTAGAGAAGAAACGGGCCCTTCTAACTGTATATAGAAACACAAAATACAGAGAAAACAGAGACTAGAAGACCCATTTATTATTCTTTTTAAATAAGCATCCTGAAATCTAACATGGTAATCTAAAAGAAAGGAAAAATGAGGTGGTAGATCATACACAATACAACAAATATACAACATCTCACAAGTAATGGTACACTTGGACTATGGCAATAATGTAAAAACCTCTCGCCTCAATTCATCCGTTACAGGATCAATAAGTCCGGTGCACCAGTGAAATTCCTCCAGATAAATTATCTCAGATGAAACCTATTTGCAGGGAATATATGGGAAAGTTAAGATGTCAAAAAGAGGTAATCCACTAAAGTAGTTGCAACCTCACATTTAGTAGAAACATTTCACATTGTTCTCACCAACAAAAAGAATTGCAAAACTTAGAAATAGTTAAGAGCAGCTTTAGGGCTCATGAACCTTGCCCTACCAAAGCCAAATAGCATTCATGTCCTTGTGGTTTAATGTGCTAGTACTGTACCCCATACTTTTACCACTTAAATTTTTAAGTAATTTCCTTCGATTTTCATTCTAATGACACTACACTTGACAGAGACCAACAACATCCAGTTGACTGAACAATCCTTATGCTTAGCACCAGAACCCCCAAATGAGGGTTCTAGTCTTTGTAGCCACCAACACTTCAAGCCTACGGCGCTGGTGGCCAAAAAGACTAGAAGAACCTCATTTGAAGTGTACTGTGCACGCACCTCTTTGTCAAGTAGATTAAGAATCTGACCCTGTCAAGTGCATGGTCTTAGTAAAATTGAATATTAAAATTGGAGAGGTGAAATACAAGGAGGAAAATCAATACACACAAGCACGTGCTCCACATTTTGCTGAACTACAAACAGCAAACTTAAAAATCCAGCCAGAACAGAGTAGAGAAATTTGTTTCCTGCATATGTAAAGCGACTTACCAATAAATGACGTATTTCCTTCAGTCTGAATAGGAGCTCAGAGCAGCAACAACTGATCCAGTTGTCTCAAATGTTGATGTGACATCTGGGTAAGTTTTCCAGGATGTGCTGACTTTGAGAGATGGGTACAACCACCTCTTTACAGAATCTACAAAAGAACTCGGGTCAAACTCCAGGATGGCTTCCCAATCCACCTGCAGACCTTTTGGAATGCTTCCTGGGAACTCCATATTAGCAGCTAGGAGTAATCCAAGCAAAACTATGAACCCAACGACAGCAGTTCCTCTGGAAAGCGGCATGAAATTGTACCTGCAACAATTATCAGCCAAATTTAAGCCTACACTTCCCTTGAGATCAAACAATCAAAAAGTTAATATGCCTTACCAGTAATATGTCATCCTTAAGATTGCATCTCTCACATTTTCAAGCACGTCAAAATCTGTTGACCCATAATTCTCACCACAGTAAGCATCGCAAAGCGCCTGCACAACCATTTTGTATTCAACTAAATTAACTAGAACACTATCATTTAAATCCCAAACAGAAGCCGCACACGTGTGTCTCAAGAACCAATAAAGAGCAGAAAAGGGAAGACAAAGTAAACTACACCAACCGAAGTAAGCAATAATTGCAAATGAATCGACATACATAAAGCCTAAAATAGTAGGTCTATGAACATGTTCAAGCAAGAAATATACACCAAACCATCACGACGATGATACTCACAAAAACCCAGGATCTTCTCAGTTATAATGATTACTTTTAGAAATGTCTTAGGCTGGAAAAGGCTCATTACTACAGCTGACATATGTGGCCGTGCCATATATAACAACGAACCCAGTATAATCCCACATAGTAGGGTCTAGGGAGGGTAATTTGTACGCAACCTTACCCCTACCTTGTGGAGATAGAGAGGCTATTTACAATAGACCTTCGGCTCAGAGAAGCATAAGCACCACGTTAAAGAAGAGAAAAACAAGAAGCGCAACAGTGAGAAGCCATGTAAAAGCAGCACAAATAACAACCAAATAATCAGGTGACCACAATGAAGAAAGAAATGACAGGTAGTCATAGAAATCTAATGCCAAGAGAATACTAAAGTACGTACTAATACTACTGGTATGACAGGGAGAACACTAAACAAACTATCCTACTACCCTAATCTTCGATCTCCACACCTTCCTATCAAGGGTGTGGCTATATATATATATATATATATATATATATATATATATATATAGAGAGAGAGAGAGAGAGAAAAACTCCTATACAAGTGAGTCTAATGAACACATTCTCGATCAGACTAATATAGGCTTAACTGTAAGACTTCACTGACCACTCTCTGGGCAGGCACAGGATGGATAAATCTCTTAAAAGTGAGTAGTCTAATGAGAACATTCCCAATGACTAATATAGGCTTATTGTAAGACTTCGCTGACCAATCTCTTAGCAGGCACAAGATGAATATACTATGCAAAATTGCACTGTAAAGTAATTATATGTCGACTGCCTTACATTCATGTTAAATTGCTTTTAAATGTCCAAAAACTATGTCCTGGCAGCAGAAAATGACTTTCTAGGTAAAAAAATAGGGGATACCTCCCAGGCGGATGTCATCTCCATATCAAAGTCATCCCATCTAGAAGGTGTACAAGGTGTTCTAATTGCAAAGTCGTAACCAATCTCACCCCTGGAAGGAACAATAAGAGTTGACAAGCAGTAAGAAAAATTGAACTAACATAAGCAATAATTTACTCAAGTCACCCCCTCCCTCTCCACACACACAAAAGGTTGAATTCCAATAAGGTTAGATGGTGTTCTACATTTTCACAAGTGTGATCCTTGTTCCTTCAAGACGCTTCCTGATCAATCAATAAGAAAGGAAGGAAAATTAGAAGAAGATCCTGGTGAGAGAAACTATTCAAGAGTGACATGCTGCTATACAGTATAAAGAGGACTACAAATTTTAAAAAAAGTACCCTTCAAGTGCCATACTGTTACACCAGGTGGCCAACCAAAAGTCTTGACCAACAACTCTGTAAAGGTCAGAGCTGGATTCTGCAGTCATTATCTGCAAAGTACAGCACAGCCGTTAAAATTTGTAGCAAGTGGAAAAAAAAAAGCATGGGAACAAAAGTTTTAATCCTAGCAAGTGGACATCTAAAAGGTGAGAACACGAAAAAGCTCCCGAAAGGATAGTGATACTGAGAAAGAAGAGATTAATAAGCAGCCAGTTTCAAGTTTCATAGGGCCACATGAAATTGCTTTTACAGTTTTCCATCTTAAAATATTTGGACGGAAGGTACTACTAGTTGGATTTTAGAGAGCCATTCAGATACATCTAAGGAAGAAATGTGACCAATATAAAATCAGCTAATAAAGATTTCTCAACTTGCTGGATTTATTGTCATGGAGATGCTATATACTTAGTATTTTGACAAGAACCAAGAAAACCAATTATCAACCACCAAAAACTATACAAGTGCAAAAGGTACAACATTGCAAAAGATTGAACTAAGGTCATAAGCAAAAAAACTCACTTCCTGCAATTTCCGTTCTTCAGAAAGATCAATTATCTTGTCTTCCTTGTTGAACACTGATTTCTTCTCCTTAATAACAGCCTTGGCAACAGTCAAGGTTCTGAACATTGACAGACAATAAGAACCTTGAGAAGGAGCTAATACAAATCAGAAAGGTTAAGTAATTTGACCGTAAAAAGCAATTTATTGATGTGATGGCCAGCAGCAAGAAGGTACTGTAAAGTAATTACAAGAGTAGCATCAACTACAAGTAGTGTAACGAGCTCAAAAGGTCAATCATGGCATCAGTATCATTTGCAACAGTCATATTACACCCAAAAAACAGTAAAGAAATACACCTATACTTAATCAGAAATGTTAAGCAATTACCTCTGAAAATTGGGATAGTAGCGAACAACTTTGGCTTGACCGAGAACAAGAGGAGTGTTAGACCCAAATCCAGAATTGAATTCCTCACTACGCAAAAACACGGGAATCTCAGCAGAAAGTAAAGTTAAAGCAACATATTAAAAATTAGACTTGGACTTTGAGAAGCTTAGATGAAAAGTCTGTTCCGACTAACACGGTCCTTCTCGCGGGTGTCAGAGAGAGCATGTTCTCTCGTCTAATATGTGAATATGCAGTAAATCCCAGTAGAGGCAAAAACACTAGGCGGATTTCTTCCGATCTATCCAAACCTTGGTGGACAGAGTTACCTAGTACCTATTGCTAGTGGGAGGTAGCAGGCATCCCGTGGAATTAGTCGAGGTGCGTGCAAGCCGGCCCGGACACCATGGTTGTCAAAAAAATGTGAATAAGCAGCAAATGTGGAACAATACAAAGAATCTACCTTAAATACCATCAAACAAGTGCATCTCTAAATTTTCTCCTACGAGTGAATTTGGACGGTGTGTGGGTACACATACAGTATCTGATATGATACGCTGAGGGTTCACATAGGATACAGCACTGTATGATTTAAAAAAATAATCAATATTTTCAAACATTTTACTTACAATTAGCCTTATTAAAAAATAAGGTGCCTTTGGGTTGAATTGGAAACATTTGGGGCCAAAACACAGCTTTAAACTATGGTTTTAACTTAGTCATTAAGAAAATTTGGTCAATCAAGTCTGGAATGCAGCAAAATTCCTCTTTTTACAGTTTTAAATAATGACTGGGCAATTTCACTAATGAAGTTTACCATTTCGACTTTTCCACTTTTGTCTTCAATAATCATAATGCTTCTTACAATATCATTTAGAATGTAAATATATAATGCGGAAAAAAAATGATTCCTGAGGTCTCAAAAAGTTCATTTTCGAATTGTACTCAAACAAAGTACAGTTTTCATATACATACCCATGCTACATAGAGATTGAGCAAATATAATGTGGATCCCATCCATATATTGACGCATAAGACTAAAATCAGGACCTTTTCCATAAAAGATACATAGATGATTGTACCAAAAGAACCAACAGGAGTGTTCGGATTTGGTTTTGGTCTAGTTTCTTGAATAGCTTAGACTAGCCTAGGTGACATTGTTTACAGTCCTCCAGAAGCTGCAACCACCAAACTTCAAGAGTCTTATATACTGCAATCCTTTTTTTCTTTTGATAAGTCAAAAGTTATAATAAAAATCACAAATCCACGAGTACTCCATATGAGAGTGAAGTAAAACACCACCAATAAAAAAAGAGCTGGAACGTAGAACTAAAGGATTGAGGGAAACAAGTTGAGGGGTTTTTTCATGCTCGAGGCGAAGCGAGTTATTTTAATAATCTTTATGCACTTAAATTCAAAAAGAACTTGGAAATGTATTTGTTAATATGCTGAGACCAAGTATAGATTTAATAACCTTTAATAGCTAAATAAAATTCAGTACACCAACACTCGGTTAAGGGAATAAGGGAAAACAAGATAGACTACCTTAACTTGTTAATCCACACCACTGGATCACATGGTTCAGATATTTGTCTCCATTTGACAGCCAATGAATACAACTGGTTCCATGACATTGTAGAACGCCCAGTTGATCTATCGTCAATCAAACTGTATGAAGCAGATGTTTCTGAGGAACTGCTAGTGCTACAACCAGCTCCACCTCTGTTTACACTAAGTGAATTTACTTTTTCCCTTCTCCTGAGTCTCTTCCCAGACTTTGCTGTGCCTTTAGTTGAGTTTCTCCATTCAGCTTGTAACGCACGCCAAGCTTTTGAGACTTTTTGTGCTATCTCAATAGCAGCTAATCCGGCCATGCGGTGCTGATAATTGCAAAAATATTCTCAGATTTGGATGAAAGAATAACAACAACGCACAAAGCATGTTTGTAGCTAAAAGAACAGCATATGAATAACATATCAAACAACAAAAGATAGTGTCGACTTTCACAAAAAATTACGAACTCATCATCTGCAATCAACATACTTATATCATATATAAATTGCAAAAAGAAAAGAATGTCAATCAAAAGGTCTAAAGGCGAAATTTTGATCATGGAAAAGCAACACAGGTATGGAAAGGCACAAACCTAATACTACAGTGTACTACCATTCACAAACTAACTCATCCAAATAACTACAAAGAGCATCACAGATGACAAAGGAAATTGTCCCACAACATACACGATTAGAGTCTGAAGCCCAACTGCTTCTTTTTTTTTTTTTTTTGAGAAGGTAACATATTTGTATATTAATATAAAGACTTCATTAAAATTGTGAAGTCACCCATAATTACAAAGGGAGTGAACAGACAAAAGTACAAACAACTTCTAATCCCTGGTCTTCTCACAAGGATTCTAAAACATCTAAAATGGATTCATGATCCTCCAAAAGCTTTCCTTTACACCAAAAATAAAAAAGAGCTAAGCATTTCATCTTTATCTTCTGGATGTTACTAGACTTGTCTTCAAAACATCTTTGATTCCTTTCTTCCCAAATTGTCCGCCATATGCAGGCTGGGACAATTCTCCATCCTTTTTTATCTCTAGAAAGTGAGCCCTCTTTACTCCAGCATGCTAGAATATCAAGGATTCTTCCCGACATTGTCCATGAAATTCCCCTTAAGCTGATGAAGATTCTCCATATCTGTAAAGTGAATTTGCAATGCAAAAAAAGATGGCTAATTGTCTCTGCCTTCTCTCCACATAAATAACATTTAGAGCACAATTGAAATCCTCTTTTGGTTAGGTTATCTTGTGTTAGCACTGCTTCTTTTGCCAATAGCCATGTAAAACAAGCCACCTTGTATGGAATTTTAACTTTCTATTATCTTCCATGGCCAGCAGCCTACCTGATTGTTGGACAAGTTGAAATCTCTGTAAGCTTCCTTAACTGAAAACTTCCCCTGCCTGTTCCCTTGCCATATAATAATATCTTGATTAGCGTTGGTACCACTGAACTGTTCCAAAGTATTATAAAACTGGATAATTCTATCAATTTCCCAGTCATTTAGCATTCTTCTGAAGGTGAGATTCCAGCCCTGGCCTGTCCAAACCTCTTCTATTGTTGCTTGTTGTTGCTGATTCAAAGCATGTATGGTAGGAAAGAGCCCCTTCAAGGTTCCTTGACCTAGCCAGTTGTCTTCCCACAATGAGATCTTCCTACCATTTCCTACTTTGAACTTTGCTTTGTTGATCACTTTTGGCCATAGATTCCTGATTGATCTCCACAAACTAACTCCATATGGACTTCTCACTGACTTAGTTGTCCAATTTCCTTCCTTTCCATACTTCTCCCTAATAACCCCTGTCCACAATGTTTGTTCATCTGCTGCAATTTTCCACAACCACTTCATCATCAGGCTCTGGTTCTGTACTTTCAAATTCTTGATTCCCAGTCCCCCTGCCTTCTTGCTAGTAGTCAGATCTCCCCATTTAACCAAGTGAATTTTCTTTTTATCACTATTACCTTCCCATAGAAAGTTTCTTCTTAGAGCATCAATTCTTTTCACTACATTGACTGGAATTGGAAATAAGGACATCATATAAGTAGGTAAGGCATCAAGCACAGAGTTGATCAGAATCAATCTACCCCCCATAGACAAATATCGATTTTTCCAATTTGCTAGCTTCTTTTCACATTTCTCCAACACACTGTTCCAAATATCTTTTGACTTGCTCTTAGCTCCCAAAGGCATCCCCAGATATACAGTAGGTAATTCCCCTATCTTCCCCCCAAGAATATTAACCAAACTTTGAAGCTGCATAACCTCATTGGCAGGGTAAATGAAACTTTTATGCCAGTTGATGTGCAACCCAGAAATAGCTTCAAAAAGAATCAGAATCACCCTTAGCACTTTTACTTGTTCTCTTTCAGCTTCACAAAAAACCAAAGTGTCATCAGCATACTGCAGATGTGAAATCCTCATGTTACTGTCAGTTCTATTACTCACTTTAAAGCCCCTTATCCAGTTATTTGTCTGAGCTACTTTCACCATGTCATTTAACCCTTCCATAGCAATTATGAATAAAAAAGGGGATAGGGGATCACCTTGTCTCAATCCTCTCTGTGAAGGGAAGAATCCAACTGGTTCTCCATTGATAAGTACTGAGAAACTTACAGTGGAAATGCAATATCTAATCCAGCTAATCCATCTTTCACCAAAGCCCATCCTCCTCAGAGTATCCAAAAGGTATTTCCAATTCAGGTGGTCATATGCTTTCTCAATATCCAGCTTGCATAGTATCCCAGGCTCTTTGCTTATCTTCCTTGTGTCTATACATTCATTGGCTATTAGCACAGCATCCATGATCTGTCTGCCTCTTATGAAGGCCATTTGTTGATGATCCACCAATTTGTTCATCACCTTTTTGAGTCTCTCAGTCAATAGCTTGGAAATAATCTTGTATATGCTGCCTATCAGACTGATAGGCCTAAAATCTCTTAATTCTTTGGCCCCAGCCTTCTTAGGGATCAAAGCCACAAATGTGGCATTCATGCTCTTTTCAAAGATTCCTTGATCATAAAAGTTCTGGACAGCTGCTACTACATCATCTTTTAACACATCCCAGCATTTATTGAAGAATGCCATTGAAAACCCATCAGGCCCTGGTGCTTTGTCACCTGCACATGCCTTAACACAATCCCATATTTCCTGTTCTCCAAATGGACTCTGCAGCATTAAGTTTTCTTCTATAGTGATCATTTGATTGTTTCTGATGGAACCTGTTGGCCTCCAGTCTTCTTCTTCTGTGTACAGCTTTTTGTAGAATCTGATTATCTCCCTCTTGATGTCTTCAGGACTCTGTAAGGTCTCCCCTTCCACAGTCAATTGATCTATGTTATTATATCTCTTGTGTGCATTGGCTGTTCTATGGAAATACTTGGTGTTCCTATCTCCCTCTTTCAACCAAAGAGCCCTTGATCTCTGCCTCCATGCTATTTCTTCTTGATTTGCAATCTCCTCAAACTCCATAGACAGTGATGTTTTTGTGTGAATTTCCTCCTCTGTCAAGCTCTTTTGTTCATGTACTTCTTCCAGTTCTGCAAGTTGATTGAGAACACTTGCTTTCCTCAGTGCTAGATTGCCTTGCATAGTTTTGCTCCATTCCTTTAGCTTTGTCTTTAGAGCTTTGAGTTTGAAAGCTAGTATATAGTCTGGCCTTCCTTCACAGATGAAGGATTTCCACCCGTCTTCAACTCTGTCTTTGAAGCCTTCAGTCTGCAACCACCAATTCTCAAACTTGAAATATGACTTTACTGGTTCCCAGCTACCACATTGAAGCATTAATGGTGAATGATCAGATGTAACTCTCTGCATCAATTGTTGTTTTATGTTCCTAAAGTTTTCATTCCATTCAACTGAGATTAGAAATCTATCCAATCTAGCTGCTATTACATGTCTGTCCCCTTTCCTCCATGTATAATCACCTCCAGCTAATTGTAAGTCTACCAGTTCCATATCTTCAATAAAGCTTGAGAATTCCCTCATTGCTCTTGTGATTCTGGAACAGTTCTTTTTCTCTGATGGGTACCTCAGAGTATTGAAGTCCCCACAAACCACCCATGGTCCATTGAATAGCCCTCTTGCCCCTGCCAATTCCCACCAAACTTCCTCCCTCTTTCTCCTGTCATTAGGAGCATACACAGCTGACAGATGCCATGTATATTCCTGGATCTTGCTTGAAATTTTGCAAGTGATTGTGTGAGCTCCAGTACCACAAACTTCCCCCTTCCATATTCTTCCATCCCACATTACTACAATACTCCCCCGGGTCCCACTAGCCTCCAGTTGTGCAAAATTTACCCATCTACT